AGTGAACAAAGCACTCACGTCTAACCGCCCGGCAAATGTCTGAAATATTCAAGTATTTTAAATTTCAGGAGAGTGCTGATTAGCAGACTTCCTTATAATTTTCGATATCACTGAAAATAACGCCACTGGTATCATATATACATTTCAGATAGTGGTTTTTCATCAAGATGTACCTTTTTGTGCAAGACAGATCAATGAACTCAAAAAACGTAGTGCAAATTTGTTGCTGATTTGTTGGCCAGGTAGATACTTGATCAGGACCAGAAGTTTTATTATTGATGGGCTCTTTCATAATTAAAGTTTTCTCCATGAGGAAAATCGGCGTAGGTTTTATATAAAAGTAACTCGTTTACTGATTTTTACTTCAAAAGCAATAACTGTTTCTCATCTATATTAAGCGGGCATACTTGAAGACTAGCTTTAAATCAAATTATTCAAAGGAACAATTCGTTTAGGCCAGTCTTTCCTCACCTACACTGTAGGTTAATGGACTGACACTCATCATAAAACAACTACTTCTTGGGTTAATACCACGAAGGGCGTTGGATTATATCCGACAGGTGTCAGTGCAGGATTCTTCACACAAGTAATTTCTGCTTATGATTTTGGCGATACAACTGCTGGAATCGATTTTCAATCATTGGAACGAGCACTCTTGCTGACCGGTTTCGGGCTATTTGGCCTCTTGTCAGTACAACACGAAGTCGATGATTTCTTATAATTCGAAATCAAATCCTTTCAGAGTAGCATACCTCGAACAAAGCTGAAGCGAATAACAAGCAACATATCTGTGCGACAGTGTTGCCAACCGGATGAACTATAAAGTCGCTACACATGAAGCCATATTCCGCTACACTGCTTAATATTACGTTACGCTTGAATATCTGACGCAAATCAGTTCGCGCATACGCCCTATTCAAAATTGAATACTACAGTACTTCAGTTTGTGTACCGAGTACAGTAAAGAGTACTGTTGCAAACAATACACTGAGCTTTTGAACGATCACTCGTGACAGGTTTAATATATCCTTTCAAGTTGGAATCAGACAACCAAAGTTGAGAAAAGGTTTGTTGTCGAGACTTTTTGTATTTTTTTCAAAATGTCCCTTTCTCATGAGTTTCAACTGCGGTAGCTCTTTCAATCGATCTATAATCATCTTCCATATCCACTGTAATTTGTTCCATATAATTTATAATACTCGAGACTTCCAATTTCAAAATATTGGAGGTTATATGGATAAAAATATTCAAAAATATTCTTCTTTTTAATCATGTAATGGCCTCAGCTACTAGGACTACAGCGCATTGCATACAGTGCATTCAATTGTCAGCTTCGAGTGCTGTCCACTGCTTAGACTATTGAATTTGATGAAAATTCCGCTACTTTATGTTCAAATCCGCTACGCCGCTACCGTCGAGTAAATTCTGTTACGATAGCGGAATTCCGCTACGGTTGACAACACTGCTATACGAACTGAAAATATTTCTAATACCGTGATTCATCAATAGTATAATGACCATTGTAATGAGCCTTTTTTCCTGAGAATAGTACATCAAACGTGTCACGAGGGGCAGCACTAGTAGAAGGGACAAACATAAACTATTCACATGTAAAACAGTGTTATTTACGTAATATTAATTCATTATTTAAAAATATAAATCTGATATGAAAAATCATTTTGTGCTAGTATAATACCAACAAAGCATTGCTGTTTTGCGAATTGTACGTCGGATAATCGATAGACATCCCGAAGAAAACGTGTTTTTTATACCATTTATAAAACCTCATATTAATGAGGTTAGATGTAAGAAGTGGATACATGCTTCGAGAAGAGTGGATTTATCAGCGCAAAAATAAATACATATTCATATGTTTTCTCTAAACATGAAATGAGTAGTAAACTTCTCATAGTTAATTACCATTGATTAGAATGAGATATAACCTCAATCTTTTAATAAACTATATTCATTTATTATATTTAATCAAATTTATTTCATTACCATCTATATTTGATTCATATTTCACTCGGAAATAAATCTGAAATTCATAATTATTTTAAATTTCTTTTATCACAGTTTGAATCTACCGCTACTCTTTTATTAGAGTCTGTATACTAACCTGTCTATTAATTAACTTTTTTTCCAGTTACTTTGAAATTACGGCATGTAAGCCAACGTTTCAATGTTACAACATTGTTTTCCTTTACAGTTGCAAATTTTAGTTTTGCTCCAGGAACAGTAAGTAAGTAAGTATTTTATTTAACCACTTTATATACAGTTGCATATTTGTAGCAAGTCACGAAAGTTTGTTCATTGGATAAAAACTTTAAGTAGATATAAAACTGGACATATACCACAATAGAATATAAACAGAATATACATATAAGAGTAAATAATTTAAAGATAATCTCTCAGTGAGCATAAATCAAATTATTCCACCTTGTTTCACCTTTTCTTCATATTCGTCTAGTGTATAAAAGGAATTTTCAATTGAGAAAAGTTTGATAATTTCATTGAAACAGAACATGTTGGCCTTTTTTAGATCATCTGAAAGGATATTATATTAGCTAAAATTTAAAGAATTATTTGCCGATTTGGTAAGTCTATATCTGGGTATTCTGATATTGTGTGCTCCTCTAGTATTTTGTTGATGAATATCAGACTGTGTAACTAAGTTTGGTAGATTCTGATGGATCTCCACAAGAGTACTTAAAATAAATAGACAAGGAATAGTCATGATCTTCAACTTTTTGAACAGTGGTCGGGCAGTCTCTCTATACTTGGCATTAGCCAAGATCTTTATAGCTTTTTTTGCTGTTGAAATACACTACATGCAGCAGATGAGCTACCCCAAAGCAATATTCCATAATTAAGATGGGTTTCAAATATAGAGAAGTAAGCGACTCTAAGAGTATTAGTGTTGGTAATAAGGCGAAGTTGTCGTAAGTTGAAAAGTGAGCTGGACAGTTTCAAGTTCAACTGCTTAATATGATTTGACCAACTGAGTCTTTCATTCAAAATAAATCCTAGCAGTCTCACATTATTTTCCACTAGTAGAGATGTATAAGTGGTAACTCAGGTCATTTATATATATGATGAACAACAGTGGGCCCAATACGGAACCCTGTGGAACACCAAATTTTACATTCCTAAAACTGTTAAAAAAAATCATGGGAAACACAATAAAAGGCCCTAGACAAGTCACAGAGAGTAATACCCATATGGTGACCTTGTTCAAGACCCTCAATCAGTCTCTCGACAACCCTTGTAGCTGCACTAGTAGTTGAGCGATTCAAGCGAAAGCCAAATTGTGATTCAAAGTATTTGGTCAATCTTTCTTTCATTATCATTTCAATTATTTTTGAAAAAATGCAAATAATTGATATGGGTCGATAATTACCAGTTTGTGTTCTATCGCCCTTTTTGAATACAGGGATTATTTTAGAAAATTTGAAAATATCAGGGAATTTTCCTGTTACAAACATCTAATTGATTAGATCAGTCAAAGGCTCAACAATTATGTTACTCACTGTTTTAATAATTCGATTGTTTAAATCATGAACAGCAGGACAGGTGGAGTTTTTAAATAAAGTGATGGCTTCTTTAACATGAGCTGGTTTAACAGGTTTCATGAAAAATGAGGAAGAAGGTGCTGGAAAATTTTTGAAATTCAATAATTCTAAGTCTGGCGCAGAAGGTAGGGACTTAATGATATTTTCCGCCACATTACTGAAGGAATCGATGAAATTCTCCGAACACAAGTCATTTGTTAAATTATAATTTTTTATTTTTACCGAATTTCTTTCATGATTGATTAAACACCAACTTGCTATTGTTTTATTTTCAGCTTCTAGAATATACTTATCGTATGCAAGTTTTTTGGCAAGAATTAGATTTTTTTCGTAATCTTTTTTGAAATCTTTATAAACCCTTAAGTTCGTCGGGTCTTTGGTTGAATCACATATAGTTTTTATACCCATTAATATATTTCTCTGCGACCTTAGTTCACTGGTGAACCAGACTACAGGTTGTTTTTACTTTTTTGTCTTAGTACTTTTTAGCGGAAAGATACTATCTATCAAATCATGTAGGGTAGTAACTAGGAAGGAGGCCATGATGTCAACATCTAGCACTAATTTCAAGTCATTCCAATTTACCTGAGATAACTGTTTTTTAATTTCGAGCAGTCCGGAATCTGTTAATTTCCTGTGAATAAAATTGAATGCACTATCAGGTTTTCCATCAACGACTATATACTGTCCTGCATGGTCAGAAAGACAGGGTTCCAACACTCCAGTCTTATAAGCATTTGGATTTAAGTTGGTGAGAATATTATCTAGACAGCTAGATGTCTGAGCAGATATCCTAGTAAAGTCTTCTATTGTTACAGAAAGAACATAAGAACCTACCAATCACAGAAAAGCATTTAGTATCGAGGAGTTTTCCCTAAAATCAATGTTGAAATCACCTAATAATATAACTTTTTTGTTGCTGTTGAGAAAATTGTTTAAAAGAGCTTCTAGATGTTTAAGAAAGATTTCAATATTGCCATTCCTGTTTGTATGATAGATCGTTATTATAAGCAAATTAAAATCGATTAGGTCGATACCGCAAAACTCAGCATTGAATTCATCACAATATGCTGTGAGTTTAATAGATTTGAATTTAATGTTATCCTTCAGAAAAATTGCAACACCCCCATGTTCCCTTTGGGTTCAAAAAAAATAACTTGCAAGTTTGTAGCCATATATATTGATAGATTTTTTCTTGTGTTAAAAACATTTTTTTTTAATTGTACTTTACCATATGTTTATATGAGGATAAGACAGTGTTTATCCCTACCGAACTACTAGCGCTGCTATAGAGTGATTTTTCGTACTTCAGGAAAAAGGTTCATTGACTGTATTCCACCGTCTTACTGCACTGCACTGGATCGGATATTGGATATCGAGTGAGTTATTAATTCCCCGTTTCATATCAAAATAGAATATTTCACAGGCAGTTTTGATCCGGATATAAAAGATGGTAACTTTATCTCGAATCTCAATTCTGTAACGTTCTCTTTCATTCTCAAAATGAGGACTTTCTATCTCATAGTTGCATTTACTGTGGCGTTGTTTTTCTTTTCTGTGAGTGGTTCGCCGGTGAATTCTACAACAACAGGTAAAATTTTTGTAAGATAACCAGTCTCGAGTACAGCTTTATTAATTTTTAGCTGTACCAGAATATGACGAACTGGAGTTCGTGAAAATTTCTAATATTGTGAACGTTCCTTGTAGAAAAGGATTTCGGAGGATTCGCAACAAGTGCCGACCTACTTCTTGAATATTTTTTTAACAAATGGTGATGATGATGACGGCAAGGTTTTGCTAATGTTGACGTTATGAAATAATGCACTTCTATAGATTTTCTTGATTAGCATAATTATAGACGCAAAATTCTTTACTTTTCGTCAATCAAGTTGGTATAATCAGTAAATGATTGTACCTACCTATCTAAAAATAAAAAGATATTTTTATATTTCACAGGAATTGACAAATCATCATTGACTGTTGATTTGAATTCATAATGAATTTTGTTTATGCAATGGTTTTGTTCTTGTTCTATAATTTTCAATACAGTTTTTCCTTCGATATACAGATTCTCATTTCACAATAACATTTGAAGTCCTGTTTTTCTTAGAAAAAAACAAGAACTACAGGAAAATCTCTTAGGCGCTTTCAGAGTACCTAAGAGAGCGCATAGTAACGAGTCACATTGGATTTGAATTGTTGGAGATCATATCCATTTGGAAAACCGTTCTCAGAAAGTTTATTCACTAAACGCATTTCTCCAAATAAAAGAGTTATCAAACAGTGAAATTCGAGGTACATTGAGTTGAACCTCAAAACACTTTCCCTGAAAATATCTATAGGAAAGAGACAAACCTTCAACCTTTGCAAGTTCCAGTGTCCATTGGAAAACGACCCCATAATGGGAATGCCATCGGATGAGATGCTTTCCCAGTATAGCTTCGGAAAAAACTTCAAAACAATTATAACAGGCAGAGAAGCATGGAAGGGAGGACCTCCATTAAATGCAGAGATTGCCTTTTACACAGACGGCTCAAAAACTGAAGAAGGTGTTGGAGCAAGAATCTGTATAACTAAAGCAAAGACAAAAGTCTCACTAAGCTTAGGTAAAAAAGTGACGATATTCCAGGCAGAAACGGCAACAATACGTCACTGCGCAGAAGAGTTGCTAAGGCAAGAGTTTAAGGAAAAGACTATTGCAATATACTCTGATAGCCAAGCAGCTATAAAAGCAATTAACTCCATGCAGGTCAATTCCAAACTGGTCTGGAATTGCCTAGAAAAGCTACAAGAACTAGGTAGACAAACCGGACTGTCATTAGCCTGGGTACCAAGCTACACAGGATACAAGGGCAATGAAGAGGCTGATTCACTAGCACGAGAAGGAGCACAATGCTCCCCCATTGGCCCAGAACGCTTTTGTGGTACAGCAAAAGCGCTGCGAAAAACTTGTAACAGCAACTGGAAGGAAAAACAATCTCGAAAATGGTGGGTTAAGGCGCCGGGTGTGAGACAGGCCAAAGAGTTCATTAAAGAGCCATCGCCAAAATTCACGGAGTACCTACTAAGTCTGAATAGGCGATCAACTAGAGTTCTGTGGTCTGGCTATTGACGGGACACTGTAGACTCAACAAACACATGAACAACATCGGACTGGCAGACACAGCCCTATGCAGGCGTTGCCAAGAGGATGAGGAAACCTCCGTACACATACTATGCTATTGCGAAGGTCTGTCAAGGATAAGGTTTGCAACATTAGGGGAGGAAAAACCAAAACCCTCTCAATATATGGGGAACTTGACGTCTGGCCTATGGCATCTAGCTACAAGGACGGGCCTAGAAAAGGAACTCTAGTATACATGAGGGCACACACAATAGACCTGCAAAGGTCGCAGTGTAGTGACTGTTCAGCACAAAAGTCCCATATTAATCTAATCTAATCCAGTCTCCAGTCAGGTGGATGGCTCTTTTCTGGATGGAATCCAGCAACTTCTGGGTATGCTAAGGGGCGGAGCACAATAAATGATAACAATACTCCAAAGAAAGTCTGATCTGAGGTTTATAAAGCATCAGTAGTTGCTAAGATGTGTGGAATTTTCTGGTTCGGAAGAGTGTTCCAAGCTTTTGAGAAGCAGCCTTCGCAATTTCAGCGACATGATTGTGCTAAGCGGAATTGTCTGTCCTGACATTATTACATCTGGTTCGGAGACATTTATCTTTTTGGGGAAAACCGATGCCTGGGTTTTTGTGGCATTGAATTGAACCTGGTTACTCTCACCCCAATTCAAAATCACTTCTAGATCCTCATCAACATATGCAACCTCCTGCTGCCGGTAAAGATGTGCATCACACCCGCGTTGAAGTATGGAAATTACATAAACTCGTCTCTCAAAGTGATAGATGTTTTCCAGCATTTTTTCTAATCACCAGAGCCCCAATACTCTTCTCAAAGTGTGTTTCACCAACCAAGTTGGCATCTTCAAGAAATGAAGAAAACTTCTTCATCTTCTGAAGACGTCAGAAATGAAGAAAACGCTAACTTGGGTGATGTAACGAACGTCAAGAAAAGTATTGCAGTTCTGGCGACCTTTTTTATGATTATGCCAGGAGAGTTGTGGAATTGGCCGCGGTGGTAGTGCGCCCGACTCACGATCGGAAGATCGTGGGTTCGATTCCCGCCTCGACTAGATATTTTTCTAGAGAGAATTTATCTGGTTGAGGCTGGAATGATTCTGCAACTGTGTTAGGAATCACACGTTAAAAGGTAAGAACTCGTTAGTCCTTAGCTCGCACAAGTTTCTCAACTTCTGAGAGTTGTCGTTCGTATGGGGGTGACAGCTGATTAACGGAAAAACAGATTTTAAACAGATTCCAGTTCGACCTTTTGTTCTCACAAACATCAACATGTTCTTGATAATATGTTTATTTTGGTCCACCCTCAATCATTCTGCAGCGCTGGACCTTACTTCAGGTAAGGTCCATTTGTATTTGTATCAATGACGTATATTATTCAGAATGGAAACACATAATATTCAGAGGTGATACCTACCATTGCTTTCGGAGTACCTTTTTTCTGTTTGAAATGACATAGGCATGATGACAGTATGTTCTTCTTTTCCGCGGAATTTCTAGACCTTCGTTAAGACATTTATTATTACTATAAAGACAGTTTTTCCAAAATACTTCAAAATAAACATGTTTATCACCATTCATTTATATAAATATACGGTGTCATTAGTTTTATCGGATAAATGCAACATCCACATCGTCTAGTTCATTGACGTATCTATCTTATTCTCAACCTCACCTAGCCTGTTGTTTTGAAATTGAGATATTATAATCTACAAATGTAATTGACTTCTTATCCAAATGAAAGCCCTTTTTCAGTACTGAATAGGTCAGCACAGCCTATTAAAAAAGCCAAAACTTCAAGCCAATTTTTCAAGAGGCTATAAAATCGGTGCCTGTGCGGACTTAGCATTTTGCATTGGATGTTAATCTTAATGAATTAAAAATAAAGGATGTTCAATGAATATTTGGTTTTCCAAAGTTTCGTTTCTTTCAAATGACTCTCTATTTATTTCCACTGGATTGATTTCCTTCGGAAAAATTATACTATAAAAAATTTAAAGTTGACTAGACCTATTGGACTGGAATTCAGAGTCAGATTCATGTCACAAAATGAGTTCATTTGACACTCAATGTCTCCTATTCGATTCAATGAAATGAGAGTCATTTTCAAGCGAATGTTCTTGAGACTAGTGTATTATTTCAAAATTGAAAAAGGCGAAATTAATCCTTAGAAATGAAGCTTCATGGCTCTTCCATCTCAAAGGGAAAAAGAAAGCAATCAAGTTTGAAATAAACTCTTCAGGTACAAAGATGTGTAGGTGGATCATGTAGAGAAGTTACTTACAAATACAGTCTGAAAAGAAGAAGAAGTCGTCTTTAAACATCCTGTGAACATTGAATAACTATTGATTTTCTACTTCAAATAGTCGTTATGGCATCGAATCAGATATTATTCATAGGAACACTACATAATATATTTAGTGGGAGATATCAAAGTTTTGGAATTCGACAGTTGTTTCATTATTTCTTTAGCACCTTTGTCATCCATGACATGAAGTCGTAATATTATGAATGAAATGAGTGTTTTTTTTATAATATTATGGGATTCCTGGAAAGGAGTAATTGAAGTGAAAAAATCTAATATGAGAGCCGTGAACGAATAATTATACGAAACGGTCTTTGAGGAATCTGGAGAGTCACAAACAAAAGTAATCTGGCAATCATTGAAATTTCAATTAGTATCTAAACTCTCAGTGATAAAATCTAAGGACTGAGGAATGTCAAGTGCAACTTGATAAATGAATGAGGTATCTATGGGGTTAAGTGGGGATAATCATCCTCCAACATCAATACTCAATACTGAAATGAAAGTTGGAACTGAAACCTCTGTTCCTAAACAACAGAACTGTTACATTCTTAACGACGCACATTTCACCAACCAATCTTTTTTTTTTAAACAAAACACAAGCACTATAGGAAAATCCTTAAGGCGCTCTAAGAGCGGTGCCTGTGCGAAAATAGTTATTCACGTTGGATTTGAATCGCTGGGGATTATATTCATTTGGAAAAACGTTCTCAGGAAGTTTATTCCAAATAAACGTGGTTTTTCAGATGAAAGAGTTCGTGAACAGTAAAGTTCGAGGTGTACTGAGTTGAACCTCAAAACGATGAGCAGCCAGTCTATCGCGTATTTCTGATATGTACCGCTCTTAGTGGAATCAAATGTGCTAAGTCACTTGAACACTTTCCGTTAAAATAATTATAGAAGAGAGACAAATCTCCAACCCTTCTTCGATGTTCCAGACTATTAAGGTTGCAAGTGATGTTCGCGTCTCCAACCAGGCGGATGGAATTCTGAATGGAATTCTGCAGCTTCAGGGTATGCTTAGGGCGGAGCTGCATACATGAGAAAAACACTCCAAACAAGGTCTGATCTGAGCTTTATAAAGCATCAAAAGTTGCTGAGGTGTACAGTTTTCTGGTCCAAAACAGTTTTCCAAGCTTTTGGGAAGCAGCCTTTGCAATTCCAGGGACATGATTGTACCAAAACATATTGGTGTCCATTTTAACCGGCAACAAACTTATCGAAGGAGAAAGCGGAATTGTCTATCCTGACATTATTACATTCGGTTCGGAGAAACCGATGCCTGGGTTTTTGTGACATTGAAATCACTTCTAAATCCTTATTAAAATATGCAACCTCCTGCTACCGGTGAAGATCTGGAGACTTCAGGAGAGAAAGTACACTACTTCCTAACTCTGAATCTGTATGCTTCCACTTTCTGACATATATCAATGATTTCTTGTAGAAATCGTGTAGAAATTTCTCGCGAAAGTTCCCGCTAATTTACCGATTCATATAAAGACGAACAATGGACCGTTTGGAATGGGAACAGAAATATAGTGTCATATACCGATCTCAACAATTTCATAAGGTTTCCATTTATTATATGTATAGTCCTTCTCCAATGTATGTTGAACGTCACTGGATTTTTTGATCTCCGAAATCAGATGGCTCGCCTAATTTGACCAATGTATTTTTGTCACAGTCCTCACAGCGTATTTCATATATTCCCGACTTTTCATTTTCCAACATTTTGTCTCCAGTGTGACTAAACATTTGTTGGTGTCACCAAGAAGTTTGAAGGCTACTTTTCCGTTCCTTTTAATGGAAATCGAACTAATCCGTTGGTTCATACGGAAGGGCAATGAACTCAAAAATATTTTTTTTTGTAAAAACCGAAGATTTACGAAGATTCCTGCTGAATTTACGGTTTCTAATTGACGTAGGTATGTATTCGAAGAATGCCCATGGCTTTAAGCAATATGTTGTGGACAGTAGTGTGAGTTATCAGAAATATATCTAAAATTATTGGCATTCTTCCTATAGACAACAAATTCTAGACTCTGATTACTTCTAATCTCCTAGAAATCGAAGAATGGTAACTACTCATTATTTTCAATTTCATATCTTTGGAGATTTGTTCAAAACAATCACTTATCCCCAATACGAGTACCAGCGCTGCAATACTCCAAACCCGTGGCGAGTATTATCTTCTTTCTCAATTCAAATCTGCTCACGATTATGAACATATCAGCTATAAACGGGAACAGTGGGTTTTCTATTACCGTGCCTTCGTGCTGTCTGTAGGAACAGTTGTTGAAATAGAAGCAATACCATTCCTAGCAGATTTTTGTTAGGTGTTAGAAGTAGTCTTTCACTACTTCTCCGCTGAAACCGTTGACTTTCAGGAGATTTTTCACGAATTCAATAGTTCTTGGCTCGGGGACACTTGGAAACAACGAGGATACATCAAAGTATATTAAATTTTCTTCATCTTGCAGTTTCTGTTTGTGTTACACCCAGCAATTATCCGATTTCTCAAATCTTCCATTGGAGAATAAAATAATGACAGGTGGACCCATTGGAAATAATCCAGGAAGTTTGAGTCCGGTGATCGAGCAGGCCATAAGTGAAGCTCACCTCGACCAATCCAGCGATCTACGTATGTTACTGTTGAAAACTCTCGAGCCAATATGCTAAAATTCGTTGGTGCACCACCGTGCATGAATCACATTGCATTTGTTGTAACAAATGGTACATACTTCAGAAACTGAGGTAGCGTTTGTACCGGCGGTAAACCTCGCCGGTATTCTTTCTTGCAGAAATATACCGATCCTATTAGGAAGAACTGATGTTGAAAGCGTTTTCAAGCATCTCATGTGAATTTTTTTCAGCCAAAACATGCTTATTGTGGAAATTTCTTATGGCATTTCTTGAGAAACTGGCTTCATCGGTAACAAAAATTAGCATCAGTAGTTCAGGGATTTGAAACAATGTGCGCAAAAACAATTGACACAATGCAATACGTGAAAGAAAATCTGCGCTAAGAAGTGCCTGAACTCTGTTAATGTGGTATGGGTACAACAAATATTCTCTAAGAATTTTCCAAATTGTCCCGTTACTTACATTTAAAGTATTTTCGATTTTTCAAGTAGAGGTAGCTGAATCTCCTTCTCTATCATGACCAGCACAGTCTTTTCTACATCTACTGTTATTACTGTCAATGGCCTTCCTGGTCCTCCATTTCGCTTCAATGCTCCTATTTCACGAAGTCGTTGATGTATACTTTGGTAGGTTTTTCTATTAGGCACATTACGATTAGGAAATTATTCTTAGTACAACCGTCTAGCTTCCAATGAATTGCCATCAGCAAGTCCATAAATGAAATGCATGTCAGCCATCTCTGCGTTACTATAGCCATTCAAGATAGAGGACTTCAACAACAAGACTTTGAATATTGAACACAGAAAATGCACGTCAAATTGACAAAGTCAATCGGTTTCAACCTAATCGACACATACAAATGATCACTTATGAGACATACTATTCAAATTGAATGTCTGCAGCCGTTTGTAGTAATCGGAATGTTGTTGATAGGTTGGGGAATGTTGTTAATGTCGAAATTGTTTTTTGCCCTGTATCTAAGCGCCCTTTCAAAAATCATCAGAAAACAACATATCCTTAGAATAGTCCAAGGAATGTTTCCTTTTCCTTTTTGCCTATATATACATTATTTCCCCTAAAAATACTTCCCCCTCGAAATCCAGAAATTACCCCCTACTCGAAATTCAAATCCTAATCAGCCCTAGTCTGATTTGAATGGTTACATATGAATACTGGACACTGAAACGTCTGAAATTTCGAAGCATTCTAAATATTCAAAGAAAGTGTTGAATGTCTTCTTTAGGATTTTTGAAATCACTGAGAGTAAAGCCACCGGTTTAGATTTTTTTCCATTTTGTTTGTTCCATTTGGATCAAAGCTGAGCTTGAGTGGTTTTATGTTATGAAGGATATACCCTTTTGAGCAAGACGAATATTGAGCACAAAAAAGATCAGAACAGACTTCTTTATAATTTTCTATATCGCTGAAAGTGAAACCACTGGTTTATATGATATATACATTTCAAATTGTGATTTTTTGTCAAGATTTTTTTGTGCCAGAAAACATCAGTGCAAGTTTGTTGGTGATTTGGTGAACAGGCAGACACTTGATTAGGACCAGAAGTCTTATTGACGATGAGCTGTTTCAGAGTCAACATTTTCTTCATGAGTGAAATTTTGCAAGGGTGGCGTGAGCATTATATAAACGTATCTCTTTCACTGATTTTGCCTCACAGTTTTTTTCATGTCGATTAATGATTACACTGGTCTACAGTGGTTTTGTTGCCCTAGATATAAGATTGATTTTGGGTGTATTTATACTCACAATTCATGAAATCATCAATGGTTTTGTAAGATTTGCTCTCGTTTTCTTTTAAATATTTTTTTTCATTTTACGTTACAAAAATTCGAAAACCAGAAACAAAATAACAGATATATTTATAATCTCAGTTTTATTTGGAAAAAAATATGATACTTTGAAGTAAATAGAGAGGGAAATTTCGAAAACATGTTATATTTCCATGAAACGCCTTTTAAGAGCTTTTTTTTTATAATTTTTCAGAGGACAATCTCTTTTTAAAAATTGGAATTGATGCAAATTTATTTCCATTATGCAGTAAGACGCATTTTAAACTTCTTTTACAGCTATCAAAAAAAAGACGCCACTCAGTAAGTTTGTATTCTTTCAAACCCATGTCCAGAAGTAGCTTCGCAATATTATTACAGTATACCAATCCTTCATTTTCATCAAAAAATTATAATAGCTCACTTTCTCGCGTTCTGTACGTTGTAATTGTAACTGTCGGTACCAATAAATTTTTTTCTTTCAATCTTGAAGCTAACAATTCTGATCCTTGTTTTGATAAATTTAGATCACGTATTAAATCACTGAGTTCATTTTGAGAAAACAACTTTGGCGTAGATGTTTCACCCTCCCATTCACTTCCACTGGTAGACTGATTCGATTTCTGTGAATTTGGCAACATCATTGTTTCTGAGGGCATGCGAATCACTTTTGAAACATAAATAGGCCGAGGGAGATTTTCACTGTGTAAAACAGGACATTTTGTAGACTGTAAGTCTGGATATCTCCACGTTTGATTTCGATTAAAACGTTTAGCATCTACTACGCAAAAGTAACAATCATCGAAATGATTCTTAGGCTCCATTCAGATCATAAGAATACCAAAGTCTAATCCAGAACGTTCTCCTTTTTTCCACAACCGCAAAGACTCAACGCAAGACCTACAAACTTTATTAGGAACCCATGATTTATCTAATCTGTCCATTTTAAAACCGAAATATTCACCATAAATTTCCTTAACAAAGTCTGTGATATTTCTTTTTTGTTTTTTTGATATATAAATACCACAAATATAACAGAATAAATCACTACTATATTTGCACTTCCTTCGTGACAAACTCATGTTTAAAAAGACAAGATAAATATATTAGAACCGACACTCAACAATTGAAACAAAATATTAACATACAACAACTTATCCAGATTTCCGTGTTAGTACTTCAATATTATCAAATAACTGAGTTCTCAACTGTTTTGCAGAGCAAGGAGCCCGAGAAGTGGGGATCACGTGATGTTTGTACGCGCAAAGAAGTTGCGCAAAAGCCTAATCATGACTGAGAAAATAAATTATTATTAAAAATACAAGATACGTAAAAATCATAATAAATAGAGCACATTCAGTACTTTCATAAAAATATTCGTGATTTAGGCACTCCAAAACATAAAAATTTGCAAAAATATCCAGGGAAACACAAAAAACATTTTTTTTGTAGAGCTGTGTCATACGAGTACATTTGTTTGCTTTGTAACATTATCGAGACTTCAGTCACAATTTTTATTGGGAGAGGAATCATATTTTCTACAATGTACAACCAAGTTTTGAAATTAGTCAACTGAAAATATTTGAATTACGGCGATTCATCGAAAGTCTACAATGAGCATCGAACTTGACAGAATTCAACCATCTTACTCTAGAAAATTACTTTCGCACTGCACTGGACGTAATATTGCATATAGAGTGAGTTTACTGATATGCCGTTTCATATAAAAATGGAATATTGCGCAAAAAGTTTTGATTCGAATATAAAAGATGCTAACTTCAGCTCGTATCTCAATTCTGCAACGTTCTCTTCCATTTTAAAAATGAGGGCTTTCTATCTCAAAGTGATATTTACTGTGGTGTTGTTTTTCTTTTCTGTGAGTGGTTCACCGGTGAATTCTACAACTATAGGTAAAAGTTTTTTGTACGATAATCAATCTCAAGTAAAGCTATATTAATTTCCAGCTATACCAGAATTTGACGAACTGGAAGTCAAGAATAGTGTTAGTTATAGTATTGTGATTGTTCCTTGCAGAAGAGGATTTCGAAAGATTCGCAACAAGTGCCGACCTGTGTTTTCACCAATTGGTGATAATGATGACAGCAATGTTTTGTCAATGTTGACGTTATGAAACAATGTACTTTTCCAGATGTCTCATTCTTGATTTGAAGAGTTTATATTGCTTTTTTTAATAAAACTGAATTTTTCCCGTTTAGCATGCAAAGAGACACAACATTCTTTACTTGTCGTCAATCAAGTCGATATCATCAGTAGATGATTGTACCTATCTGAAATAATAAAATTTTTTTATATTCCACAGGGATTGACTAGTAATTACACAGGCCAACAAAATAAATGTTTTTGAAAACTTTGTTCACTTTGATAGCTGATTTTTATAGATTTTTATGTGCTGAATCCAAATCTGGTCTCAGTTTTTTGTATCACCCATAGTTTTTGAGAAATTGACTTTTATTTATATAATTCAAAATCTGTAAAGTATATGGTAAAATTAACGAAACACTATGTTAAATCACTATCATAGTTTTTATTTACAGTAGGTTACTTGAAATATGGACACCGTGTTGTAATGTAGGTTTCACTAGTCAGGTGGAACTGGTTTATACTTCCTTTCTATTTTTTCTTTGAAGTTTATTGTGTAGGTTTTCCTGCGATGAGTCTCTTGTTGAGCTCCATGATGAAGTGATTAACAGTAGTATCCCATCATGTTGATGTTCCAGGGGCCCTGGCAACGTTTTTCCGTTTTTCTATCAATTTAATAGCTTGGTGAAAACGATCACCCTGTTCCTCACTAACATCTCCCAAATTTTCCGGGAAGTGATCAAGAAGGTACGATATTCTGAGTATTTTGCATTTTCTATAAATGTTGTAACAACTTGCTTGAATTATACACATGCTTCTTTCTCATGTATGATCATTGTGGTTTCAAAGTTTACGTCGAACATCATTTTTCGAATGTCGGGTCCTACAAAGATGCCTTCCCTAAGTTTAGCCTCTGAAAGGTTTGGAAATTTCTGACAGAGATACTTGAAACAAGGTTCATCTTTAGGCAATGCCTTTACAAACTGTTTCACGAGGCCTATCTTTATATGTAGAGGTGGTAAAATAATGTTTCTAGGATTTACAAGATTTTTGCAGAGAATGTTATTCTCGCCGGGTTTTAAAGGATCCCTCATAGACCAGTTATTTCTGCCACAATGTTGATCCCTTGCTCTACTGTCCCATTCACACAAAAAACATGGAAATTTGGTAAACCGCCTTGCTGACCAAGAAGCATGCATGTTACTTTCAAGTCACATATCATGTTATTTTCAAGACACATATCATCCAACCATGAGCCGAACAGCACTATTTCTAGGTTTACATAGGTCTCTTCCATATGTACAGAATGGCCAACAGGTATAGATGCATAAGTGTTACTATTGTGTAATTAAACGGCTTTCAAACTAGTTTTGGAAGAATCAATAAACAGCCTCCAATCTTATTTTTTGTATTCAACACCAAACTCTTTGATCAGACCTGGAAAGTCTGAGCAATACACTAAATTACCTTCTTGTTCAAAAAATTTCAAAAACTGCTGCTCTCTCTTCCTATACACATATATGCTAGTTCCAACTATCATCAACTTTTTTTCTTGTAGTCTAGAACCAAGCAAATCAGCTTTTCCTTTTGTTGATCCAAGATCCCCAACTAAGTCTGAGTAAACAGTTTAGGCTCTATATTTGCTGTAGCATATTGGAACTCTTTATCATCTTGCTCATCTATATCTGTCAGTAAATCAGAAAACATTTCAGTTTGAACAGAATTCAAATCATCTGGAGGTTCTGGAACCGGCAAATCTACATCGTGCCCTACTGGGCAGAAATTAGGTTATTAACTTCCTGTTTTTTGAGTTATGGCCAGTAATATCAATACTACAGAAGTAGCAATCATCAGTGTGGTTTCTAGGTTTCCTCCATACCATAGGAACAGCATACTCAAAGGCTTTTTCACCTTTTATGACCATTTTCTAAGATCTTCAACACAAACATAACATACCTTATGCGGGGCCCAAGATTTATCTTGGTCACCAAGTTTAATTCCAAAATATGAGAAATAAACCTTTTTCACAAAGTCTGTAATGCTGCTTTGATGTTTTTTAATAACACCACTCACCACAAATATAACAAAAACTGTCAGCAGAGTTCTTACAACCGCGATTAGACATTTTAATGAGCACATGTACTGGAAACCAGAAAGTAAGGTTAGGTTGACAGTAAACAAAACATCGGCTGTGAACAGAAAAATTTAATTCCCCTTCTTCTGGGCAGTAAATGTGTTTTAGCAGTGCTGCCAACTCTTCTACATCCAGCACAAATTATTTTACAATTTTATTTGTAGTATATATAAAAAGCTGTTGAATTCTGTGATAAATAAAAGAATTCAATGAATTGATGTGCAAATGTGAAAAAATGGTAGGTGATACGGTTTAATAAGTGTCATATTTGGATATGGTACCCTAAAAAACAGAATAATGAGGTGTTTTAAGTAGAACAGTTTTTCAATCGTTGGCCTGTTGGCAGTCAATAATTATTGACTGCTAATTCAAATTCATTAAAAACTTTTTAATTACAATTGTTTTGTTCTTGTTCAGTAACTTTCAATATCATTTTTTCTAGGACATGGATATTCTTTTTTCACGATAATGTTTCAATAAATAAAAAACCCACATTTGATATTCTGTTTTGAAATATGGAAATTACATAAACTTGGTTTTTGAACTGGGATAGATCTTTCACTAGTTCGGACTTCCATCATCATCATTTTTGATGATCTTCAACGGAATGGATACTCCAAAGCGATGGTAGAAAAGACTTTGGCAACAGCAGGAGCCTCGCAAGGAAGAGAAGCCGTCACAACCAGTGCTTGCACTTCCCTACATCAGAGGATTATCGGAGAGGATAAGAAGAATTGGTTCCAAGTACAACATTAGAACCTGTTTCAGATCCGGTAACACTATCCGTAGTAGCCTCACGAAAACCAGGCCCCCAAACGCGGACTGCGATTCCAAGAATTGCATTTACCGGATACCCTGTGAGTGCGGAAAATCCTATATTGGTGAAACTAAGAGGCCATTGAATGTTCGCATTGCCGAGCACAAGAAGCATACACAGCGAGGAGAAACCAGCAAATCAGGAATAGCAGACCATGTTTGGACCCATCAACACAACATCGAGTGGTCCCAAGCTGAGATCTTGCACAGAGAGGAACATTGGTTCAGGAGAAAATTTAAGGAAGCCGCATACATGTTGTCCAACAACGTATTCAGCCAGGCCAGCGTAGATATACGAAACATATGGAAACCCATCATCAACCCTTTCAACGACCTATAAAATAGTCATCTCTCGGAGGAATCAGTCCAGTCATCACCCGAAGACGATTGTAGATACCAACAATCGAAACGTCGTGAACTAACGTGACTTGGAATCTCTACACTTTTTTATTTTTATTATTTTCTTTTTTCATTCCTTTAATTTTTATTTATTCAATTATTTTATTTTTACTTGTAGGTTATTTCACTATCATTTCATTTCAGGTTTATTGTTGCTTAATATAATTGTTATTTTCAACTATTCTTTTTCAATTATTCTTTTTTCTTGTTTCAGGGATTTCAAATCATTTTATATAGTAGACAATGGAAGTCCGAACTAGTGAAATTCATCACGAAACATTGTCAATCACCTTCAAACAAACGTGGGATAGATCTTTTCCAGCAATTTTTCCATTCAATACGCAGATATCACCAATAAAGTTAGCGTCTTCAGGAAATGAAGAAAAATTCTTCTTCATCTTCTGAAGATTCCTGAAATCAAAAAATATTTTTCTTAATATTCTGAGGACGCCAACATGGTTGGTTAAACTACTGTTGTGAAGAGTATTGCAGTTCTGGTGATTGGGAAAATTGCTTTTTATTGGATTCATTCTACGCTAGAGGTTCCAGTTTAACTTTTTATCAAGATCAATGATTTGTTCACAATATTCAGGAACAGAAACTACCTATATTTGTATCAATAGTGTATATTATTCAAAATGAAAACAGAAAACTGCTTATACTGCATCATAATACTTAAAAGTAATTAATTTCATTCGAAGCGGATGATTTGCCATAATTATTCCTTGTCTTTCTTGTCTCCACTAGATCCGCCACACTTTTTCTCACCTGGAAAGTAAACAGAATATATAATAGAAATTTATTTCGTATTGAATAACACTAGTTTATTCACTAGTCAATTTTTGATACCTAAATACAAATATTATAGTTAAAATTACCTAACACGTAAGATGTTTGAGTTATGATTTCTCTTCGCAAAAATTTAATGAACACGACATTCCGAATTTGCTTTTCCTCTAAATTGATGAAATTGTTTAAAATCTGACAACACAGCGGCTCTGCCCAGTATTCGAATCTGCTTCCGCTGTATATGAAACTTGTAACGCCGTTTCTCAAACTTCCGATACTGGAAGTTTCCAGAAAATACCAGAAATACAGAACCGCTATAAAAGTAGCAGGTTGACAATCGGATCATCAATATTGGTTTAACGCGAGTAGTGGTGAGTTAGTATTAGAGAAGCAAGGTGAGCAAACACGCGAATATTAAGAGTAATACATTAGTGATTCTTTGTGAATAAAATAAGTTGACTCCTGTAAACGCAGTATCACATATTTGAACTCGACGTACGCAACGTTACAAAAATGCCCAAAGTACAGAAACGTGGCTGCGTTAATCCGGCAGATAGTTTTTGGTCAAATCACCAAAGTAGCTTACCATAAGTATTTTGGATATGTTGTTGGTGATCAAGATTGGGATTGGGCTCCTCACGTATGTTGCCAAACCTGTGCAGCATATCTAAGTAACTGGTTAAATGACAAACCCTCTTCAATGCCTTTTGCAGTTCCAATGATTTGGCGAGAAACAACAAATCGTTACAACGACTGTTACTTTTGCATGACAAACGTGTCTGGTTTTTCAAGAAAGAGCAAACACAAAATTGTATATTCGGATATTCTTTTTGCAAGAAGGCCGGTTCTTAATGGAGAAGGTTTACCAGTTCCAATACCCCCGGAAAATTGGGAGGAAGATTTGGAAATGTATGATGACTAGGCACGTTTCTATGATGTGTCAGAAAAAGACGGTCTATATTTTCCCGAGAGTGAAGAAAAAACACCCCATTTAATCGAACAACCTAAATTAAATGACCTAGTTCGGGACCTCCACTTGTCCAATGAGAATGCTGAACTATTAGGGTCTAGATTACAATAATGGAATTTACTAGCCCCTAAAACCAAAGTTACAATATTTAGGAACAGTCACCATGAGCTATCCTAGTTTTTTACTATGCAGGATAAAATGTGTGTTTGTGTAAATCCAAATGATGTGATGGAAAAATTAGGATTTGTACTCACTAAAACAAGTCTAAAACAAGTTTAAAAGCCGTTCTGCTCCATAATGGTCCTCTGGTACATGCAGTTGCCATGAAGGAAACACACGGAAGTATGTCACTTATTCCAAATGAAATAAGTTAGAATACGTATAAGTGGCAAATATGTGGTGACCGAAAAGTCATAGGACTATTGCTAGGTCTTCAGGGCGGATTTACGAAGTTTTGTTGTTGTCTTTGCCTTTGGAACAGTAGGGCAACACAGAGCCAGGTCAAGCTAACGTGAAGAATGTACCTCTTGTTAATTCCAAAAACGTTTTGTTACCTCCATTACACATTAAACTGGCGTTGATGAAGGTGATACTTTTAAATATCCTAAACACGTTTTTTCAAAGTTAAGTGATGCAAAGCTCATGGAAGGTATATTTGTTGGACCAGAAATACTACTAATAGAATACTACTTAGTGATCAAAAGTTTGATCAAAAATTAAGTAATGTTGAATTAGCTGCGTGGAGTTCTTTCAAAAGAATTGTTTCGGAGTTTTTAGGGAACAAGAAAGTAGAAAATTACGAATCACAAGAAGAAGAACTACTTGAAAACTACTGCAGAATGGGATGTCGCATGACTCTCAAAATCTCTTTCTGGCATTCCCATTTGCATTTTTCTCCAGAATATGTGGGTGCTGTCAGTGACGAACAAGGGGGTTATGCACAAAAGACTTCATTTGAATGCTTTCTCAAGTGTATTGTAAATAAAGTATGTTATCCTCAAAATATATTGTTTTTTTCTTGTTTTGATCTTATATTTCCCTATAATATGTGAAAATTTCTGTATAAAATGAATATAACTACAACTCAGAATATTTATGTGATAGAAAATTTTTGACTACGTTGGGGACTACCAAAAATTCTTACTTAGTTTATCAGTATACATTTCAAGAAATTCCTGAAAAAGAATTCAATTCTATCTTTTTTGTTCACATGTGGATTATATTAATTAATTAAAATGAATAATACAAAAAGAACAGGTCAACAATAACATTTTAAAACACTGAAAGAAATATCCTCTCAGGTATCTTGAAGGTGCAAAATCGTTTCTGGCTTTTTATAAAAGAGGACGTATGCCTCTCCCCTAACAGTCGATTTTGGTGACACGTGTGAAACATTGTATTCGTGCCATATGCCAGTGTGAAAATGTTGGTTTTTCAAGTCCATCCCAAGTTTCCTCTCTTGTGACGAAATCCAAGCATTGTGACAAACTCAATTGCCCAGTTCTTTGTGATATGGGGAGTGACAAATCCCAGAAAAAATCGAATGTTACTGATGAGCGTCCACAATGAATGACTACAATAATCAACAATAATCAATTGAAATTATCTACAATCTTAGAGTTAATTATACTCAAATATCTCAGCCATGAATCTTATGCTTTTTCGCTGTTGCTGAATTGTTAGGCAATCTCCGTTAAGATCGGTTTAGGTTTTTCATTAGTTCTACTAACGTTATCATGTAGTCCTTCTTGAAGATAACGAAGGAACTCCTGGGCGTCTTGATACGCATGACCCAATCATGCGAGGGGAAAAATTCTCAATTGATTTTTTTTTGTTCACATGTGAAGTACATTGATTAATTGAAATGAATATTGAGAACACGTCAAAAAAAACATTTTGAAACACTAACAAAAAATCCTCTCGGGTATCTTGAAGGTGCGGAATCGTTTCCTCCTTTTCATAATAGAGGACGTATGTCTCTTCACTAATAGGCGATTTTGGTGACACGTGTGAATAATTATATTCGTGCCATATGCCAGTGTAAAAATGTTTGCAGTATGCTGTGTAATGTTAGCTGTAAGTACACCCACTGTGATTCGAAAGTGCATATAGATTATAACGATAAGGAGTCATATTGTCTGTTGCATAACTGCTCATTTTTAATCCATCTAGAGAATCTTTCTTTAAATCTTTTTTTTCTTTTCTTGTAACTAGAACACGTCGATTTTTTATGTCCATGTATCCAAGTATCCTCTATTGTGAAGGAATCCAATCATTGTGACAAACTCAATTGACTAGTTCTTTGTGATATGCGGGGAGTAACAAATCTCAGAAAGGATAGAAGATGTTTGATGAGTGTCCACAATGAATGTCCACAAAGTCAATTGAAATTATTTACAATTTTAAAGTTATTTATACTCAAATATCTAAGCCATGACTCTGGTGCTTTTTTGCTGTTGCTCAATTTTTCGTCAATCTCCATAAGGATCGGTTTAGGTTTCTCATCAGTTCTACTAACGTCATTATGTAATCCTTGTAAAAATAACGAAGGAACTTCTGGGCGTCTTGATGCGCATGACCCATAAATCGAGGGTCAAAACTCTGAACCTGACTTTTCGAGGAGAATGACAACTCCATCAGATGAATCTTCTACCCACAATTTTTTGTCAACTTCAGCGAACGCTTTGATTAAAGCACCCTCCATACTAGATATACTAGTATTGATATCTTTCATATATTACTTTTTTTCCAAATATTCCAGTAACCATCTCGTGTTTGATGAACATTGGATTATACTGTTCATGAATCAGGTGTTTCCAATACTTTTTTTTCAACCCATTAAGCCCAAGGGTTTTGACCGTAGATTGTATCAGTGTTCTAATTTTTGTATAGCTATTAATATGTTCACCACCGCTATTTTCTTCCGCGTAATCACAGATGCGGTGATTTTCTCCATCATTGACTCAATTGAAAGTAAATCAGCTTTAGGTCATATTCAAGAAAGTGTGTGTAGATAAATGAAGAATATAGCGCCGAAAGTGGCTTCTCCCAAAAACCACATTGGTACAAACATCCTCTATATATAAAGCCAAACAAATGTTCAACCATTTGCCAATACATATTCGATCTAAATCTAGTGATAAGGAATTCAAGAAGGCTGAGGAAAGTTTACTCTGAGATGAAGCTTACTACTACTAGTATTCTATAAACGAATTTTGCGACGAAAATTTCTTAATATTGAAATTTCAGTATCACAGATGTTGATTTGTAGATTTAACTAGTTAACATTTATATTCATATTATTGTTTTGAGATGTAGCTCCTATTATATTTTTATTATATTTCTGCATTGAAAATATATATTAAGATACCTCAGCACTTCTATCAGCACTTTTTGACATTCAAGTTTTTCTCTTTCTCTATACCCTAGTATGTTCGATTTATTTAATTATGACAGAAGTACTGCAATTTATTGGTATTCTTCCTCCATAGAACTAAAATGATCAACCGTAGTGAGATCATTGACTAAAAATATATCCTTTAGACTACTGTCAATTAACGTATGCCCGATTTGTTTTCAATCCCATATATATGGGATTGAAATAATTACCCCTTATAGAACAGAAACATTCGTACCGTCCATGGCATTAAAGTTTTTTTGAAAACTGTAAACTCACCTCCTTTGGAACATGAACAGTTAGAACCGCATTTGCAATTGGAACCACAGTTGGATTTTCCATCTCCGCAAGTATCTGAAAAATTAATGTAATTCGTTACAAATTTCAATAATAATAATGATATTAAAGGTTGTGGAATTGGCCGCGGTAGTAGTGCGCCCGACTCACGATCGGAAGACGGTGGGTTCGATTCCCGTCTCGACCAGATATTTTTCTCGAGAAAATGTATCTGGTTGAAGCTGGAATGCTTCTGCAACCGTATTAGGAATCACATGTTAAAAGGCAAGACCTCGTTAGTCTTTAGCTCGCACAAGTTTCTCAACTTCTGAGCGTTGTCGTTCGTATGGGGGCGACAGCTGATTAACGGAAAAACAGATTTTAAACAGATATATTTCCCATAGCATGTTAATCAAATTTATAAAAAAAAGAATGAAAAGGACAACATTAATGTATTGGAAAAATTCAGGTGGTCTGTATATCTGGTGAAAGACAGATCTTTGTTATTATTCTTGGGCGTAAGATGATATATGATAATGAAACGAATAAAGATAATAGAGAAAAATACGTGGCGCAGACACGTATATCTATGTATGTATCTACATCTACTCATATCTTACTACCAATATATATACAATTTTTTGAGGACAGCAAACTTCATCAATCTAATTAATATTTGTATTTGATTGTTCATCAAGAAGATGATTTCTTATTTTTTTTCAAAACTTGGTCACTCAAAATCTTCGGATCTTGGGAAATCAAATTATAAACCTTGAAAAAAAGGATTTTTTATATGTGGTTGTTCTATGAATTGGAGATCTAGTAGTTTCTTCAAAACGAACTTTTATAATATGGATATCCTCTCTGAAAGAAATTTTGTTCGAAAGGTAAGATGCGGTTTTTGAACTGATAATTTTGTGAAATGGACAAGACGAATGCAATCATCATCTTTTTGCCATATTCAGCCATTTATGCTCATCCAGCAACTGAGATATGCAATGAATGAAATAATTTTGCTTCGAAATGTCTGTTCACATTTTCCTTGTTCAAATTTCAACAGAATTTGTATTTAGAAGACAATATTTTTCAGATGTTTTGTCAGTTGTTGAAGTTATTGGATATGGGTGAATTGAGGTTATCTACTTCAATTTCATTCACGTTCCATTCATTTATAACTTGTTATTACCACTGCAGAGTGAAGAAGTACCAAATTCGACAATTTTGTTTGTTCACGTAAAATGGTCGTTATGAATTGTCAGAGTTTGGTGCCAGGCAGTTGTAGTATTTTCTTGATGATGTCAACTTGGTCAACGTCGAGAAATATTATTTCACTTCTGTTGTGTGTACATTTTTTCATTAGATTCAATTTATGACAGAGTTTTCAATTTTGGCTATCAAGTAATTTTCATCATTTCTGAAATATCCGGGAATACTATATCATAAATCTGTCAAAATTCACCAAAATAAATTATGATCTTGTTGTTATCATATCAAGCAATGAAAATGTTGAATTACAACAGTGAGATATCATTCCATTGGCGCACTTACATAACTGAAACATAATTCAAAAAAATTTTTTGGAAATGTTTTTTGACAATTTTGTCATGACGATGATATCCTCACTCAGTAGACAACTCTGCAATGGGAAATGAAATTGAAAAGATTATGTTATCTGACGAGGTAGGAAAAGGTAATACCAATTTTGACCGAACTTCGTCAATTTTTATAAAAAAATTATTTCCGTTTTCAAACTTTTGACATTTTTTGGATTGAACATGTTTTTCATACTTTTCGTTGACCATTGAAAGAATAGATATTGCTTGTTTCTTCATGAACAAACCAAATTCAAAAACTATTTTTTATCGTTTTGAAATGTTTAGCATGGTTTGTATACGGGGTGTCACTTTTGATGGAGTTGCTTCCAAATCTCTATTGGAAATAGGATTTAGATCAATTTCGCAGAGTTGATGAACATTTCAAGATACTGAAATTTCATTACTTGAAAACTTTGGTTTAGCATTGATATATTCTCCATTGTAGGATGTGGTGTGTTTTCCATTAGATAAGAGGAAAGTATAACTCTAAATAGGCTTCTTATCGCAACATATAGTCGAAAAATTACTGTATTCTTATTCAATACGTGTGAGTTACAAAATCTCGTTTACTTTCTGTACCCCTCAAATATAGATCTCCTCCAGCACTGGTTGAGTTGTAAATCCATCTGTCCTCATTTGTTTTTAGTTGTAATAGTCAGATAACACTACCAATGCGTAATTCACTTAATGCTTCCATGATAGATTTTTGAAAATAAAATATTCCACTACAGAATGATCCACTTTTTCATTCGGTCAACATGAGAATATATTTTGAAGAAATGATTGTAGTATTACTATTTTTGACATTTCTGAGTGTTGATTCATTCGTATTTGTGGAAGGTGAGTTTCTAAGTTGGCAATGGAGCTATTGTCTGCATGATTATTTTAAGATTCACATGAGATGAGAGAAAAAGTTCCAGTTGGAAAAACCAATTTTCAAAGGATGAGATTTGTTCTCCATGTTCCATGTAGGAAGGGTTATGTGTACATCCACGGAAAATGCCGGAAAACATATTGATATTTCAGAATCAGATCAAATGGTATCTGATCTCCTGAGATTCTACTGAGATTCCTGAGTAAGATCTTCAAAAACAGACATTTACATACGTTGAAAAAAAATGTGTTCTAGTTTTCATATACTGTATTAATGAATTGAACAATTAGATAAACAAGTCAGAAAAATTGTCTATCAGTGTTTCATTTGTAGTTTCCAGATCACAAAATCACATTTTTTTCTGGATTGCAAATGTATAGTTTTAAAAATACTATAAAACTCTTTCGTATACTTAGTTGACAAAAAAACAGACTCAACATGAAACATCCACCATTTGAAGAACAGTTTCAAGGTGGAAGAGGAGGAAATCAATAGGATATAGGTCCGGGGATCTAGGAGTCCATTCAATATTACCTCTTCTTCAATCCATCAATTAGCATAATTATTATCAAACCATTGTCTAACTGGAACTAAATGATGGACCAATGAATGCATCTCCCCATATACCAGCCCAAACATTAACTTCTACGGGGTATTGCGTTTGCCCTTTCCTAAATTGTCGTGTATTCTCGTCACTCCAGTAAAGACAGATTTGTTCATTTATATGCGCATTTGAATGAGAAATTAACTCGTCACCAAAGCAAATATTTTTTATGAGCCGGGGTTCTGCGATACTTCTAGCTGTCATAGATTCACAAAATACAATTTTTCTGTCGGGGTCATCGTCACCAAGTTCTTGAAGGATTTGCATTCCATGTGGATGAAATTCATGTAATTTAAGTATTACTTTCCTTACAAATTCGAGGAATAATCTGTTTGCTGTAGCTGACTGACGAGTCGATAAAGTATGATTCATTGGAAACTGGCCGAGTACTTCATCCAGTAATCTTGGTTGATTTCTTTTTTTATTTGTAACAGTACCAGTTTTTTGAAATTTTGCTACTAGTTGGCGAATGTACACGTGACTGTCATTTCTCTCCGGTTGCCTCTGGTTAAATACTTCTGTTGTTCTGCTGTATTATATAGTCGAAGCAACTGGTATCGTGCATACTTAAAGTGTCGGCGCCTTCAAAGTCCGAAAAAAAAAACAATACAAAGAAATAAAGCCGCTGCCTACTAGTCCACGTGAACTGAAGAATTGACGGTTCGTATTGGATGATTTTTCCTAACTGAGTTTTATGATTGGCTGAAGAGTCATGAAATTAAATTTTGAAGTCATGTTACGGTGACGAATAAAATGCGAGCCGTCGTGTTGTCAATGTTCAGTTCAGGAACTGATCGCGATTTGAATGTTGAAATGAAAGAGTATGTGTCAATGTATATAAGAATCTTCATCCCAAGTTTGATTTCAAGGGAAACGAACTATTACAAGCAACATCAGATTTGACCAAAATTATTTTCTCAACTATACGAAAAATAGTCAAAAACTGAAATCATAAGGAAGAGATTGAATACTTCCGGACTTGCGTAACAAATACTCAGAACAAATAATTAAATATAGACAAGAACAACGGCAAATTTTCTATTTGGACGAAATTTGGTATAACACTCACGACACAGTTACGGAACGGTGGACTGATGGTTCGAGAATGTGTACACCTAACATGCCTGCAAACAAAGGAACGCGACCAACCATTGTGCATTGCGGAGGAAGTAAAGGATGGTGTCCGAATTCTTTGAAATTATGTGAAAACAAACTTGAGGACTGCAATGTTGACTATCATCAGAACATGAAAGCTAATTTGACTGAAGAATGGTTTGGAAACACATTGATCCCAAATTTGGATGCAAATAGTGTAATAGTTATTGACAACGCTTCCTCATTCGCGACAGGTCATCAAAGTACCGAATGAAAATTCGAGGAAACATGAAATACAGAGTTTTTTAATGGATATCAATTTGTATTTTGGAGACTACTATACCCAAAACCAACTACTTGAAGTTTTACAGTGTGGTATGGACATACCACACTGAAACTTCCCCTCAAATGAAATGAATAAAAACACTTTTGTCTGAATACCACTGGTAAATTTCATTGATACGACCGATTTCGGTCAAATAAAATTTACCAGTGGTATTTAGACAAAAGTGTTTTTATTTATTTCATTTAAGTGATCATGAATTACCATAAAGTAAAAAAGCCATCAATCACACATATGAGACTTCTCCCCTATTTTTGTGTTTTCCATCTCATCGAGTTGATTTGGGAAAAATTGAAATAAAGCATGAGGCATAAAAAATATTCTAAAATTTGATAAGAAGGTAATAGAGCTAATTGAAGAAGAAGTATCTAATATTACCGAAGAAGACTGGCAGAAAAGGTTCTGAAAATAATTTAAGTTGAAAAAGACTTTATGGAGATTGGACACTTTCATATTAATGGTGGAAATAAATTCATTATTGAGTTGAATGACGACAGTGATAGTGAAATATGGAAAAGGAATTATCAGAAGCTTTCGAAGAAAGTTAGTGAAGTATGAAAAGATAAATAAAGGAGTACCATTCTGAACATTTCCATATTGATTTAAATTAAAGAGCCACCGGTAGACAGCTGTTTCAGCCTATTGGGCATCGTCAGTACCCGGCAGGCGGTCCTCGATTGAAGACAAAATGAGAAACCTGCACGTCGTCTTGATTTCAGTCAGGTTGGAGCCTGGCTCCCTTACCCTTTGAACTGATGCAAAATGAGAAAAAACCAAGAAAAGTACTTAATAGAAGTAACTACGTAAACGCAAGCGAGACATAAGTGGAACCATCTATTGGTGTGACACCCAAGTCAACTTGCCAAGCTTTTAGTTTGACCAATCAACCAACAACTGCGGTGGCAGAAATTTGGGAAGCTAACCTGGAATGTCATCGAAAAACGAATTCTTATATAATCAGAAATAAATATTAAATAACGAAATTAGTAACCTCCCTAACTATATTGTTGAAGGGGAGCTGTTGGAAGTTAGGCTGCATTATATCGTTTACTTGAACTATACACAGCAGATAGAAATTTTGTAAGTATCAAAATGAAAATCAAATGCATTGATAAGAGTATCGTTTATCGTCTTGAAGTGAAAAATGCAATACAAAATACCTTTCAAAAAAAAACACTCATTTTCTTGTTACTTTCACTTATCAACTAAGTAAACTTTTTTCAGGTACAAATAAACAAAAATAGTTCAGGCGTAAAATATTTGAGTCTCAATATTGATGGTATGACGGTAATAATAATTGTTTTAAACATTTATTAATAGAAATTATTAATAGAAAATAAAATTTTTATTTGAATAAATAATTTTTTATTCAATAAACAAGTTGGCTATTACAACGTTTTGTTTTCTCCTCCCGAGAAGGGCAGTTGTTTCCAACGAGTTCTTATATTTGATTAGGTTTCTCAGATAAAGCCATTGTAAATTTTCAAATTCCACACTTTGTGTGGAAAAGTGTTTCGTTTTACGCCAGAAGTTCTGATCTGATTGTACCTATCGAAAAACACAATAAACATCAAGAGTGTTCTTATATCTATTTGGAATTATATAAATCAGACGTAGATTGGCTTGCAATCGAAATAATAATACGAGTATATTCTCGCATACTGAATTCCGTTCTTTGGCTGTGATTCAACTATTTTCCACACCACTGATTATGATAGTATTAAATTACATTGCAAGGTTGAATATCGAATGAAATTGGTGACTCATCAAAGTTGTTTTGCAGTGATACGCACCGTTAGCAATTTGGTGTTTTCAAATTATGAATCAGCAAAAAAAAATTAAAATTAAAATCTTGGCACTCACAATCATTCAAAATATTTATCATATCAGTTAACCACTAAACCATTTAAAATGTTTATTATATCAGAATGACAACAGGCAGCAAGATTGTTAATGTTCCAGGTTCAAGTACAGGTACAAACTCGACTGTCACAAAGGACAAAAACCAAGATAAATACATCTCAGTTCCATACCACCAATATACGAAGAACTTCAGATAGAAATATTTTCAAGGAGCTAGGTATGAAGGTGGTTTGTAAAACAAGTCATACACTACAGACCCTTTTGGGAAGTCCAAAAGACAAAGTCGAGAATTCGGAAACGTCTGGAATTTACGAAATTGAATGTAAAGACAGCGATGCAAAATATTATGGACAGACAAAAAGATCTGTTGATGTAAGATATAAGGAACACTTAAAATATGGAAGACCTGAAAAATCAGCAGCCGCCCATCATATTTTGCAACAAAACCGTTCCATAGACTTCAGTTCATTGAGATTAGTTAGACAAGTTAACAACAACAGGCTACTAGATGCCTATGAGAGTGTAGAAATAAGTAAACACAATATCATGAATAACGATGACGGACCTATACCAAAGAGCATGCTATATATCTTGTTAAATTAATATAGTTGGGTTTACTGATTACTACATAAGCACACATTGCACAAATAAATTTAGATAGGCAATATTATGAAATTAATTTTTATATAGCTGAAAATTGTTTTATATACAGCTATGACAGTTAAACATATATTGTAAAATAATAGACAAAGCAAAATTGTAAAATTAATTTAGGTTGGTATATCTGTATGGGTGGTACACCTGGATGGTTTACCTGTATGGGATATCTATATAGCATAAATAGCGTTAGCTTCGCGTTAGTTTCTAGTTTAATCTTCCACTTTGAAGATGATCACTTGGTGATCGAAACACGTGTCGAGGTGTTAAAAATAACGATTTGGTGTTGGGAAAAAACTCCAGTAATATTCATTTACTATTAGGTGATTATTATATTTTTTAAATGTATTATTGGTGATTCCATGCACTTCCAAATCAAATTCCGATCAAAAACGCTTGTTAGATTGAAAAGTCAGGAGCAAATATTCCAAATTCTACATAAGATGACATGATTGAAAAACATATTGGAAATACATTCATAGTTTTCTCTGAGATAATCCTCAAATCCTGCTAAAAAAAATATGTGTACGTTATAATATGAATTAGTAGTTCAAACAAACCCAAATATTCAAATTATTTTCTATTAAATCTCAACAGTTTTAGTCTTCATTTCAAAATAAATAGATACGATTCCAAATATGAATGTATCAACAAATGAAATGTGAAAAACTTTTTGAAGTTGACCAGATATTTGATGCAATAGAAATACTCGTAAGGATTTTTTTCTATCATACATGCTTTTTGAATAAGTTTTATATTTTATAGAATGATAAATTAGTTTTAAAAACATGTAATAAAATGTTATAGTGTGATTTTATTGGTAATATTCATTTAATATACACCTTCCTTATATGTCTTTTATATATACTTCATTATAACGCTTTCCTTTCCTGAGATTGTCTTGTTATTCATTCATTTTAAAACAGAACAGAAAATCATTATCATTTTTATCACTATTATTTTAATTTTGTATCAAAAGTAAGGCTGAATAGATCCTTGTTCAGAGATATGTGAGACATATTTCTGAATCATTTCATACCGAAGGCTATTTATTTATTTGTTTATTTGAAGTCCAGAGTGACGAGGAATTGTTTCGAATGACTTTTATTAAAACTTAAGGAATTCTCTACAATTCAAGTTATTCGAGATAGGCACGCTGAATTTAGAGGAAACGATAAATTATTTAAAAAATATTTACACCGTTTTGGCAGATAATAGCTGTTTTATCGTACTTGAGATAGTTTCTGAGATGAAAAATATGCAAATTTCACTTCAAAATAACCGCTATTGAGTATCTGTCAAGTTTTTTCAGGGATTGTTTTTAAGATTAAATAGAAGATTAATGAAAAATTTAAAACCGAAAGTCTAATAGTTCTCTACTATACCAAATTAATTGATGTTGTTTATTTAATATCAAATGGAACAAAACGATTTTGTTCATTATTATGAGTCCCGTTAATATTCACATTATTTTGGGTTGAACGAATTATAAACCTCAAAACACCCAGTACAAACATATCCTTCTAGAAATATGCCGTTCACATAAATATACATTTTCCAAATTACACTGTGGTAGAAGTTCATTATATCTCAAAATGAAGTGCAGTAGATTTGTGAAGAATAAAAACAAAAAAAAAATAAAAACTCAAAGTCATCTTTACAATTTATTATTACCCTCAGATGTTGGAACTGTAAAACCATCAATCAGTACATGTTTTGAACCTATATAGGTTCATCATCAGTTAATTATTTAAAATTCTACAATAAAAGAAGAACAGCGTACCAATAATTGATACAATGAAGTATGAAATACTCACATGGAGAAGAAAATATTTTATAATGGAGAAAAGAAAATTGTCATACGTTACCAATGAACAAATGGACACAATGACATGTTAATAATAATCAAAAAATATTTTTCTAAAAGTAGTAAAAACGACGGAAGTTTATAACATCATATCTATGAAATATTGAACTATGGAGACGACTGTTTTATTCTTCGCAAATTTGTCAATCAACAAACTCACCTTTGCAGGAATCACAAGGGGACGGCATTTTTGATAAACTTTTGTAGATGAGATATCACAATAGTCACTATAATGGTACAAAATGAAAGCTGCGGGATCAGTAGTAGACTCTATTCTGTCACGTATACGTTCTGTCTACTCATTGAAGTTGTTGCATCGATTGATTCAAGTCTTGAAAGAAGTGGGGATATTGGCGCATGCCACTTTTTGAGCCCTTTCATTTCAATCATACTGGATATATGTCAAGGTGGAATTCTTCGGCTTCATCAAAGGTAGGCAGGCAGTAATATATTTCAAGGTGTTTGGTTGCTTACATCGAGGAACCAATAATTTTTTCAATTTTCAATTTTATTGGATATTTTTTAACAAAAAGTAGTTGAAGAGATCACCAAGTCACGAGTGTTATTTGTTTGTGGTTAATACAACTGAATTTCGTTGCGTCATAAACTCGCTTTTGAATAGAACATCAATTCGAATTCCTCCTTTTTCATTCTGTTGAAATGAAAATGGCAAGTTGGAGTCAAGTTACTGAAAAACAGCATATGTTGTTTTTACGAAAAATATCACGAGTTTACTTAGTTGGCTTAGACTATGGTAGGGACGTATTAAAAATAAACTTTATTGTGATATTTTCACTGAACAATTTTACAAAAACGCAACACGTGTTTCGCCATACAATGGCTTCTTCGGGTGTGCATTTACTAACTACATTCTACATATTCAATGCTTAATATACCTTATTTTACAATATGAAGTACATAAATTTCAAGTACCTGTATATTGGCCAAACAGGGAGAACATTTTCCCAAAGAATTAAAGAGAATAGAAGTAGTTTTGTAAATAGAAAGACCAATTCCACATTTGCAAACCACCTTTTAGCAGAAGGACATGAGTTCAATCATAAATATGATGTGTTACATTTAGAATGTTTGGAAATCAGTAGATTCAGAAATTTGGATAATTTATTTGAATGATCAATTAAAATTGAATAACTCCCCGTTACTAAATATTTTTTCATAACAATATTAATTCCTAACAAACTAAGTTAAAAATCAGGTACTTGAAATGTAGGTACTTTATATTGTAAAATAAGGTATATTAAGCATTGAATATGTAGAATATAGTTAGTAAAGACACCCGAAGAAGACATTATATGGCGAAACACGTGTTGTGTTTTTGTAAAATTGTTAAATGAAAAAACGTTAGTTATGGATTCCCAACAAGTATCGGCCAATTCCATCATATATGGTAGGGACGATTAAACAATACACATATCAACAAAATACGCGATAAAACAGTTACCTTCATATAGCATCCTTTTCTTCTACAAGTGAAAGAACAGTTGGACTCTCCATTGAATCAAAGAGAACTCGAATTTGAAGAGAGATAGCTGAACAAACGAGAGCCGTTGATAATTTCTTAGATTTTCAGACCTTGTGACAGTTGACAAGTTGTTTTTCGAAAAGTTTCAATTCTTTAATACTACACGAATAGTTGTTTTCATACCTAATAAATTATGGATTCTTCATATTTCACAGTAACTAATTTTTTTAATGTAATTATAAATTTTAACTTCAAATCACAAATCATCCGAAGTCAGAAACAAATATTTCAAATTTAACATATATGTATATCTCATCAAAAGGACACTATCGAAGACATTTACGGTTTGAGATAATCCTCAAACCTTGATGAAAATTTGTGTACCTATTGTACCTATTGAAATAATCAATTTGTTTTCAAGTGAAACTACATTTTTTCTGGTTTTCATTCCAAAATCAGTAGTAACGACTCCAAATCAATTCATAACCAATGAAATTCAGATTGAGCCTGCATTAATCATTAGTTTCTCAAATTTGGAATGGCTATATCTAATGTCTGCATGCTAGAAAATGTGGATTGTCAGATATCGGAGTCGAAAAATTGAATATGAAATTAGTTTTTACTGAATTATTAATGAATTTTATGAAAGTGATCCATAATACCAACTTAGGGCTTTTACTATCAGTGAATTTCAAGTATAAAAGTAATTGTTCATTAAAAGGTTAGGATATATTGGGCTTATTTCGGATGCAAAAATTGATCGTATGGGTATTCTTTTGTCGACACAATTGTAGCAGTTTGCCTTTTACTCTATATTTGTTCGAAGGTCTCCATTACAAATTTTATTTGTTTCAGATTCTGCAATCTGATAGGTGTTCAAAAGGGTAACAAAAAAACTACTCGTATCATGTACCTACTTGTACTTGAAGAAATTATTGGAGTGGTTTCCTTGAGTAGATGCTATACTAAAAATGAATAGACGATGTGAGAATTATAATTGAAACACTCTCTAATTCAATAAACATAGCTAGCAAAAAACGTAGAAAAAATCGAATTTTTGATTTAGCGTTAGTTATTGAATGGCAATAAGGACAGCGGGAATTTACAAAAATTCACTCAGAAGATGTGATGAAACTAATGAGAATATTTATGAATATTTGCTTGCTGTCAAACCTGAAACAAGATCTAGTAGATTTATTATTGTACAACTTCAATATAGAAATTGATTTCTACCATATTGTGAAAATATCCTAATAGATGTCAGTTTTCAAAGACGGATTTCCACCAAACGAACTCGCTTGTGACTAGTTTTGTTTTCAAAAACACAAACAGAAAACCTGTTTTAGTTTCGAAACTCGAATTACACCAAATATCTGAAAACCAGTCTGACTCAGGTGTTTTGTTGTGAACTGTTTTATTTTCATTAATAGAGTTTATTGTATGATTTTCACAATATGGTGTTTTATAAAACCGGCGGCACGTGTTTTGCTATACAATATCTTACTCAAGCGTTAGAATAACGTTTGAATTATTTTCACTATAAACGGTTTTACAAAAACTTCGATACGTGTTTCGCTATACAACAGCTGTATCAAAGCTTAACATCGCTATTGTATAGTATAGTACAGTAAGGTATAGTATATTGTATAGTGTTGTATAGTATATTGAACAGCGCTATTGTATGGCGAAACACGTGTCACGGTTTTTGTAAAAACCTTTATAGTGAAAATCATACAATAAACTGTATTAATAAGTTTTAATATGGATTTTCATCAACTATCAGCCAGTTCTATTCAATGTTTTTTTTTGTTTCCACTGCACGCACAGAAATTAAATTGCTGATTTCTTCAACTGTACGTAGCTAGTTTTTGCTCATGTTCTAAAAAGGAAAATTAAATCTCATTTTTATTTGCGACAATAAAACAAATCAGTTAAAATAGCCTGTATACCCAAAACAGAATAACACTTTGAATAAAGTAATAATACCGACCCTTTCCCCACAGCGATCTCAGTTTACAAAAACACAAGCTAAACACCGAAAACTTTTTATCTTTCCGCCTGCCGACGGGACATTTCATTTTTGACAAAAACAGTTACCCGCGACACTAAGTCTTCAAAATAATAATAACATTTCTGTCAAATACTTAAACATGTTATTTGGATCTGGTAGTTGCTGATATTCGCTTTAAATTTTCTGACAATTCAAAGAATTCATTTTATGAACCGCATTCGATAATGCTCATTTCCAGATATACAGGGTGTAACTGAATAAGTGTAAAACATTTAAGGAGGTGATTCCTCATCGAAAAAAAGGTAGGAACTTTCTCATAAAGAAATTTCATTGGAGCATTCCTTTTTGAGATACAGCCCCTCAAAGGGGGTACATACAATTTGTATAACAATTTTTTTCACAAGCACTAAAAAAGTTACAATATTGAAATTAACTCGACGTTTTGTACTACCAAAAAGACACTTAGTCAGAAATTTATTTGGTTTACCCCATGGTTGTAAGGGGTGGAAAACGCAACCCCTAAAATTTATTTCCAATATAACTTTTTGTCTTATTATTTGTTTACCATT